TTGTGTCAGATTGTTGCCACTGTAAATATATATCTTAATAATTGTGATGCTTTTCATTTGTATTCTCTGGGAGCATTGCTAAAAACATTTGTGGTTTTAATTTGAATTTTATTTTCAGAATTTTCTGAATGTTGTACTTTTGAATCTTTTTGCATACATGATAAAACATTCCTTCTTTCTTGTGGCATTTCTAACATTTATTGGTGTATGACTTATCTATCTTGGCAATTGTTGACAGAATTATATACCATCTGTAGAACATTTGTGCTACAAACTTTGCCCCCTCCTTCAGACATTGGGTGGACTTCCAGGGAAGCAATGGCAGACTGAAGACGGCTCCACCAAGAGCAGAGCCGATGGCTGCAGCGAAAAGAGGAGCCGGTAAATAGATCAGCTCCCCAAACTCCTCTCCGGAGCAAAGAGAGGACCAGGATCACTCACAAGTGCTCCTTACAGAGGATCCCCGTGAGGAGATCGTAAAACAATGGTCTTAGGCAGGTTTCAGAGCTCTGGGAGCCAGGAAAAAGTCAACTCGCTTAAGCCACAGTTCAGAGCCTTCAAATGGACACTGGGTTCGCCCACTTCCTTTCTTAATCACTTCTATAAATGGCTTGTTAACTGCTTTTCGGATATTCAGAACCTTCAGAAGGGCAAATTTCATTACACCAGGTACTTCTCCTTCAATCCTCAGCAAAATAAGTTTCATGTAAGTTTAAGAACTTAAAAAAATATTCTGAAATAAACTGCAAAAGAGTGATTAGAACATTGATTTTGGAAAGTTACAAATGGACTAAGGGGCCAGATTGACTGAAAATAAGTTTTTGAAACTAATTATAAGAATTTTTCCTGTGGGTTGTTTAAAATCCTATTAAAAAATATATGAAAAATTTGAATCTAAATGTAAGTAATCTTTCCATGGGAAAATGTTGTGGATTAGAGAAAAACATGGTAAGAGGAGCCCTTGAATGCTGGTCACTAGAGGCAACCAGAAAGAACTGAAGATTATAATTAAAGGAGAAAAGACCCACTAAACAGAATGGAGAAAAGTATCAATAGAGGCGAATATGTGTAGCTCAGGGTTGAACTGTGGAGTCCTGCTCAGAGAACCCCAAGGACTCCACGGAGAAAAGTATTTTAACTCCAGAAGAACTCAAGGATATTTGGCAACAATGTACTCAGAACTTTCTCTAAAGATTGTCTGCTACTATAAAAAGAGGTTTAAAAGAGGAGACAGAAGAGGATACCACTGAGAATCAGGCTGTTTTGGATGTGGGTTTAAAAATGACAGGCTACAAGAATGATATGGACAAAGATGTTACACAGGACTTACAAATGAAATGGCTGATGTTTTAATAGCTAAAAGGGGCACACCAGTAATAAATCAGAAGAGTGACTTGGATGTGTGGGTTTCAACTCAGAAGTGATTTGAACAGCTTTCTTATCTTGGACTTACAAAAGAGATGTGTATTACTTATGAAGGAGTTCCTGAGAAAAGATAAAGAGAAAATGAAAAGAAATCAGCTTTTGGGACATTACTTAAAAGGAATAAACATCAAGATTTTTAAAAGTAAAAAGATGGAATGTAAAGTTGACTTATTTGATCAAGGTTAAAATATATATATATATTTTCTAGTAGCTTTTAATGGGTTTTCCTTGACCAGGACTGAATGACAAGGTTTTAAAGATTTGTTTATAGATAAGATATGGGAAGAAGAGTTTTTTTGTTGTATTTTTAGAGTTAGTGTTAAGCTATGGTGTTAAAATTGAAGGAAGGTGTTAAACTTGTGAAGAAGTTTCTGAGAGGAGACAAAGAGAAAACGATACTTGTGGGATACTATTTGAAGGGATTAAAGTATTTCAATATGTTGTTATTTCTGAAGGCTCTTAATGGAATTTTTCTTGATTAAGCTTGAATGTCGAAGCTTTAAATATTTGTTTATATATATAAGATATGGGAAGAAGAGGTTTTTTTAGCTGTATTTTTAGAGAAAAAGATAAGTTACTGTGTAGAGTAAAGGAAAATGAAATTGATTTGTTTAAGGTTAAAATATATACCTTGTTATTTCTAGTAACTTAATAGACTTTTGCTGATTAAGATTGAATGATGAGGCTTTATTATTTGTTAATAGGTAAAAGATGAGATATAGGATGAAGAGATCTTTGGTTGAAATGTTAGAGAAGGTGATAAGTTACTGAAATTGTTTGTACTTGTCTTGATGAAGGAGGAAGTCATTTCTTTATATACCTTTTTTCTTTATATTTTTTCTCCTTTCCCTCCCCCTTTTTTCTCTCTCTGCACTTTTTCTTTTTCTTTTTTTCTTTTTCATATTTTTCTTAATTTGTACTCATTTTTTATCTTTGTATTTTAAAACTTTAATAAAAAGTATTATAAAAAAAACAAACACACACAACAGCCGGGTGACAGCTCAGGCTGCTTTCTCCCAAAGGTCTCCGAAGGCAGTTTTTCTGGGGACAGAACATTGAATATATTTTTACATCCACATTTAACAGAGAAGTTGGACAATGGCTTGGAGAAAGAGCATGGTCTTGGTCAGCTTTCAAAGTCACAGTTATATAGGCCTCATTAAAAGATAGCGGAAGAATAGAGTATTATTTTTAAAAGCTTCGTTATAAACTTCCAAAAAATCGGGGCACAGAATCATTGCTTTCTATAGATAACACATTTGGGGATTGGAGGCTTCCTGATTTCATCAATTTACTGACACGGTTTCTTAGAGAGATAAGTGTATTGATTATCTTAGGAAAAGCTAACGTGAAAAACCGCTCATTTATCGTTGACTCTGTTCTACAAAACCCGGAGTAACAATTGTACACATTGTGACTGAATCTGAATCATGCCTGATTCGCTACCCTGTTGCAACGGAGGGCTTTCCGCACCGCTCTCAGGGTCTTTGCTTGGTTTTTTTTTTGTTGTTTAGTCGTTAAGTCGTGTCCGACTCTCCGTGACCCCATGAACCATATTGCGCCAGGCCTTCCTGTCCTTCACTGCCTCCCTGAGTTTGCTCAGTTTCCAACCGGTATTTAAGTGCAGCGAGGAAGTGAGTTCAGAAAAGCAAAGCCGCTCCGGCGGGCAACGGGGCTCGCATTCAAACCAAGACGGGCACAACCAGGGGAAGGCGAGGCTGGCCCTGCTGGATCGTCTCCCCAGCTCGGGTCTGGCTGCAGGTGGGTTGGAGTTCAGCCGGCAAAGCTTAGAGCCCCCTCCCCCTTCTCTCAGCCGGGAGGGCGCCAGGACCTCTCCTCCCCCGCGCGGAGCCCCCGGGCTCTCCCGTCGCCCGCCCAGACCCGTCGCGCCCGCCCAGACCCGTC